AGTGTGAGAAAGCCGAACCCTCCCTAATAATAATAGGATGCTCCATCTGTGGTACTGTGGGCTCCACGAGGCGTTTCCCCACATATTAGCTAATTTAGACAGCACCAGAGTTCTGGGTAGTGAAGGCACAGCGAAAGGTGATGAGGGTTGCATTCAGCTCTGCCTGTGGGTTACCCTGTTTGATTCCTACCCCTGTGAAACCAGGGGCTTGAGCAAACGCCAGGGCTCACTCACAAGTGCTGGCTAGAAGGTAGGCCTAGGGCGGGCCTAGGCGTTGGCATTTCTACCAACCACACGTGGAGCCACCCAGATTCTGACAATGCCGACCAGGACTACACTTTGAGAACCATGAGGCAGATCCTATGACTTATACAGGAACTGAAGCTCAGAGAGGTCCAGCTGCTTTCCTCAGACTGTCCAGCCAGAACCTTCGAGTGGGCCCAGGTCTAGAGTCTCTCCACTCCCACTGCCTCCTCCTGGTTTCCTGCCTCAGTCTCCTGCCTCCCTCCCTGGTGCACTACACCATCTTCAGGAGCCAATTTTGCATCCGTAGCCTTTGTACAGTCCTGAGCTGGTAAGGCCACTGCAAACAGTGACAGCTACAGGCCAAGATCCTTCAGGAAACATGCAAACCTCAATTCTGCAACTCAGGGAGGATGAGAAAGAACTCCTGGTGGGCAGACCACGGTACACAGATGCTGGATTTCACAACTTTAGCGAGAAGTAAGGGAACCGCTGCCCAGATTTAGTAAGCGCTGCGGTGTAGGACTGCTAGCCTCCGGGGAAATCCCTGAGCAGGGCTGACGAAGCAGTCCCTGAGATGAAGAATATGCCCAGCCCTTTTCTGCTCTCCAGAGAGTGGCTGGAGCCTCTTATTCACCCTCAGGGAATAGGGGAGACGAGGCGGGGCACTTTGGATTGCCTAAGGCACGCAAGCCACCAGAAAACCAAGAGCCCCTCAGAATTAGTTCAGCCTTAGCTCCCTTGGGCTGTAAGGCGGCTCTGTACCCAGCAGTCTGACATGAGGTCCCTCATGCCTTTATCCGTGCTGAAGGGTGGGAGCTAGTATCCACCTCCCAGTCTCTTCTGAGGTGTTCCCAGGGGCTAGTTCTCTGTGCTGGGAAGGGGTTCAGGGGAGCGCACAGAGCCCAGGGCATGGGCATGCCAGCAGCTTCAGATGCCAGCAGTCACAGAACAGGAGGCAGGGAGAGGCCAGGAAGTGCCAGGAGCACGAGGTTTGGCCTAGGGGAAGATTTCATCCTGGTTTCCAAAGGAAATTGTTTCTCTTCTCTTTCATGGCCACAGCTGAGACACTGGGCAGGACTGTTAGTGGCTGCAGGCAGGGCCTGACCCCTCCAAGGCCCAGCGCTCAGAGTTCCATGTGGCTTTAGGGAGAGGTGGGACTCCCATCCCTGCAGGAGAGGCCCACATCCATGTCCCCTTGCTGTCCCTTTGCTGTTCTCTTGCCTGTAGGCTTGTCCCAAGTCTGTAGTGCCCAGTGGCATCTGTCAATTGGTGCGTGCCCTGGCAGCACAAGCCCCCCGGGACTGGTGCACCACCTCTGGGCTCTGATTGCCCTGTTGTTCCACTCTAGGTTTTCCGGCTCTTTCCCAAGGTAAAGATGACAGTCCCAGCCAGCTGGAACTTTCTAATGTTTATTGAATCTAATGTACACATAAACCAGTGCAGGCATCATAATCCGACAGCTTGCTGAGTTTTCACAAAGGAAACACAGTACCCATGCCAAGGAACTGATCGCGTGCTGGTACCCTCGGGCCACCTTCCAGTCTCCCCCACCTTCCCACAGGGCACAGATCTGTCCTAGTGGGCTGGAGCTGACTCCACTCATATCACATTCTAACTGCAGCCTCATTCCTAATTCTGAGCAGGGGAGGCTGCCACGGCTTCACGGGACCCACCTGGCCCTGGCGTGGGTGGGAGGGTCCGGGTCTCCTCACCTCTGCCTGCCTGTCTCACGATCACAATGGGCCCCAAACCCCAGCAGGCACCTGGGGTGGCGCTGGTCCCCCTCTGCCTGAGCCGCCCATGCTGTCAGCCTCGTGACTCACCGCTGCGGTGGGGGCAGAGGTCCCTTTCTGAGTACTTCCAAGGTCCCACCAGTGGGAAGCCCTGGGGCGGGATGACTCAGCAATGTCTACGTGCAGAGAGACTGTGATGCAGAGAGGCCTGGGAAAACCAGCACGTGGCATCTGCTTGGACTTGCCCCATTCAGAGCAGCCCTCCCTGCCTGGAAACCGAAGCTCCCAGCACCTGCGCTGGGCCCTCTGCGTACCTGTGCGACTCTGAGCCCATGAGCCAGCCGCCAGCCTGGGCCTGTCTGCCGCCTGAGCTGTCCTCCCTCTCGCCTCCTCCTTGTCCCCACCACATGTGCCCATTTCACCAATGCGCGTCCATCCATCATTAAGCACTGCCTCTGCACCCTCAGCCAGAAGCTGCTGTGGTTGTACAAGAGGTGGGAGGGCAGAGCGCCGGCCAGCGTCAGTGGTCAGCAGGCAGAGCTCTGGATCGGGTCATACGGTGCTCAGAGAAGCCCTGTGAGACAGCGCTGCGGCCACCGGGCCAGAAAAGAGCTTCCTCTGCTCTTTGACCCAGTGACTGTGCTTCCTGTACCTCCCTCATCGGCCCAGAGGGGTAGGGGGCTCTAGAGGCTTGACGGTGGTTCCACTATCCCTGAGAGGCCAGGAGAGGAGAAGGAGCCAGTTACCTCCGGTCCTCAGACTAGAGGGGTCTTGGGAGCCCTCTGATCCGTGGTCTTCTTATAGAGTGTGATAAGAACGCTTTGGGGTCAGAGGTGTGGCTCAGTGGGACAGCATTTGCCTAGCATGACTGGAGCCCTGGTTTTCATACCCAACCCCCGCCATGAATGACTTGGAGGATGTGTTAAAAATACATTTCTTCCAGGTCTAGGCCACCAAATCTGCATTTTTGCAAAGCATTCCAGGTGATTCCAATGCCAGTGACCCCAGGCCATAGTTTGGGGAGCACCAATCTAAAGGACCCTCCCCAGGTTACTGAGAATCACACAGCCTGGCCCAGCATCCAGTCGGCCTTCTTGGCACCTATGCCACCCACCCCAGTACGCATGCACGCACACAAACAGGCACGCATGTGCACACCTGCCCGGGGTCCTGGGCCCAGCTCTCTTTCTCCTCTGGAAGGTGTTTCCCCCTCCTTCCTCCTGCCATCCCTGAACACTGGAGGTGAAGACCCAGAACCCATCTCCACAAAGGCAAACAGCTCCCGGATCCCTCCTACCTGTCCCCTCCCACCACCACCCAATTACTCTTCCTAAAGCACAGATTTGTGGCGCATGCCTGCTCTTGGGAGGCTGTAAACAGGAGAATCACTATGAGTCCAATCTAGTAGTGAGACCCTGAGCACCCCATAGACCCTTCCCTAAAATACAAAAAAAAA